ACCATACCGAGTTTGGTACAAATTGCTAGAACGGTTAACGAGATACATAGATGTGATCATAAGTGGGCGGTGCCACGCCCATTTTCCAAAATTTTATCATAAACGTATTTTTGGTAAAGAATTGTTGCAACCATCAGTTTTGAATAAATTAGCTTTAATATTTACTGATTTATCAAGGATTTCGTATTTCTCGAAATTACCGTTTATGGGATGTGGCCATTTGGTATGCTGTACCAGGGTCAACAACTGTGCCAAGTTTGGAAGAAATTGGTGCAGCGGTTACCAAGATATACACATGTAACTATAAGTGGGCGTGGCTCCGCCCATTTTCCAAAAATTCTTAATATTCTTATTTTTCGTCTAAAGGTTATTCTAAATGTCAATTTTGAGTGAATTATCTTCAGTAGTTACTTAACTATCGCAGTTTTCGTATTTCTGAAAATATTACCGTTATATGGGAGGTAGGCGTGGTTATTGTCTGATTTCGTCCATTTTCAATACCATCCGTCCTACGCCCAAAAGAAGTGCATGTACCAAGTTTCGTTAAGATATCTCAATTATTACTCGAGTTATCGTGTGCACAGACGGACGGACGGACAGACAGTCACCGCTTAATCGATTTCTCTTTTCATTCTGATCATTTATGTATACATTTGTCTATATCTATCTCGATTCGTTTTGCCTGTTACAAACAACCGTTATGTGAACAAAGTTATAATACCCTTGTGCACAAGTGCGCTCGGGTATAAAAATCAACAAAGAAACTAGTTTTTTTATAAAAAAAAAATTTTAAATTGAGTTTGGAATAACAGTTCCTTCTTGGCACAGATTTTTTGTTTTTATGCATCAGATCGAAAAACATGTATTTTTTTCCTTGAATCCCTAAGACAAATGGAGTGCCACACACACAGATGGCAAATTTAGTCAGAAAGAAAAAATTCGAAGAGTTGATTTTTTGGAAATAAAGATGAAATTCAATTTTTTCTGGAAAAATTCGACTTTATCCGAATTTTAGCAACACAAAGTTCTATCTCAAAAATTCGCCATTTTGCAGCAAAAATTCGATTAAAGTTCGAATATCGAAGCTTCGAATATCGAATTTACCCATCCCTAGCTGCAATTAGTTGCGGCCGAAAGTTCAAATCTCACTATGCAGAACATGTAATTTAAAATTTTGATTTTCCTTTTTTTTTATAATTATGAAAAAGTATGTGTGAAGTGCACAACGAAAAAAAAGTGGTTCGGTTACAGGTTACATGTTACTACTACAAGTACTGGTGAAAAGTTACGCAGCGGGAGTCAATTGTCACCTCCTAGGACAACTCCATGTTAAATGCGACAGTAGAAAGCAGGGGTGGTAGATTTGCGAGGTGCCGGTATTCGACTCCCGAAAACTGGTGAATTCACTAGTTCTGTACTAGTACTTTCCGCTGCAGGGACATTCTTGCCTTTACTTTACCGATTTTCCTCTGGACATCATGTAACTAGCATTCAAGTTCGTTCGAACTATGTTTGACCAAGTGTGATCGCACCCTTACCTCTACGCCTGGTTAACATTTCTGTTGGCTTTCTTTGCATTCGACCAAACATACACGCACGCACACACTAGGGCACTTGATATTCGATTAATCGAATATTCGAATTATTCGAATAATAAAATTCGATTATTCGAATAATTGATCGTTTTCAATTATTCGAATAAAGCTGGTGCGCGTATATTCGAATGTTGAAATATATGTAGCTATGTATACATATGTATGTATGCACACATTAGGTTAGGTTAGGTTGAAGTGGCTGCCAGTGACCCCCCTAGCACACATAGGCCCTTGGTTGTGGGCCTGTTGTGATACCACGCGGATCGTTAGAACCCTCCTACTCAAACCATCGTGTGGATTTCGCGAAACCCAGAAGTTGCCGTATGCCTCCTTCGGCTATGTCGGTTAGGTCTGTAACAAATCACCCATCCCTATTATTCGTACAACTGGCAGCTCTGTACACTCAACGTAGTTTGCCCACTTCCTCTTTGACATTTCTTTGAGTGGCAGCACCACATTGTAATTTAATTCTTGTGAAATCATTTTTGTCGTGGATGTCAAGTTGAAGAGGCGCAAACTGCGGTGAGTTTATTTAACTTATATGTAATGATATTTGTTGTTTTAATGTAACGGTTCCTTTGTTCTAGAAATAAACGCACTTCCATCTTTTTGGGTATATGAGAAATGGCGTTCTATTTCTTTGCCTTCCCACGACTTTTACATCTTTATTTCGCAGTGCAGCATTATTTCGAAGCGAACTGGCATAATTCCTGCAAATTCTGCGCAGGATATTTAACGCTGCAATAAGTTAGATTATATATATATATAAACGAACCCTCTCAATGCCGTGAGAGATAGCGTCGTATAAGGAATGCTAAGGCGCAGCCCACGTTTGCAAGAAACAGCCACGCCAGAGAGCTCAATCACCATGCAAAACGTCGCAACGAATATAACATCCGCTACAGGGTCGTCTGCAACATCTACAGAACAGAATCCATCTCATGAGAAAAGTAGCGCCGTCAAAGGTACAGGTCAAGTCAGCGGCAGCACATCTGCAAAAACCGCCGCAGCCCCAAGTAAGGAACCTAAACCCGCCAACCTCAGCGCCAATGCACGTGCCGCCGCAGCACAAGGTGCTCAACTTAAAAATGCCGTTATTTCGAATTCCTCTGCAAACGCCGCCGCAGAACCCACTGCCTTAGCAAATAGTCCACACAATGTCATTACTGCACAACAGGTGAGTCATTTATTTAACAAAATGAAAGAGCTAGAAGAACAGCTTAGAAACACCCAAGTCCAGTTAGAAGATAGCAACAAGAAACGCAAAGCCCTAGAAGACCGTTGTCTTATAAACAGTTTGTCGGCAGCGCCGCCGGCGTCAAGCGTAGCAGTAAGCAGCGCGACAGGTTATCTGTCAAGTAGCATGCAAAATGGCGCCATAGAGTTGCATAATGCTGCCCACGGTAATGTTCAGTCCACATCTTTTTCTAATGCCTCTGCCGCAAGCGCTCCGTCATTGTCGTCGCCACCTTCAGGCTCTATGCCTGCCTTCGCCAAAAATTTTCAAAATGGGCAGTCAGCCTACTTGCCTAATACGAGCATAAATTATGCCATGTCTCGTAAAATTCAAGACCTTCCAGAATTCAGCGGGCAACCTGAGGAGTGGCCACTATTTTTTAATGCCTTTACCCAGACTACCCAAGCATATTGCTATAGCAATCTAGAAAACAACCAGCGTTGTTGATACGTAGTCAGCTGCGTCAAGTAAAAGATATTCCTCCAGTTTCTGAGTCCGCAATAGAAAAGCTCATTCCCTTTGCCACCAGAACAAGAAACCTTTCAATGTTTTTACAATCTGTCAACGGTCAACAGCATCTGGCGAACCCTACGTTATTGGATGAATTGGTAAGCAAGCTTCCGACTAGCAAGAAAATGGATTGGGTTAGATATGCTGCTCCGATCACGCCGTACCCAACCATAATAGATTTCAGCAATTGGTTATCTGAAGTGGCCAACTTGGTTTGCGCAGTGCAAGATAATGATACCCGCCGTCGAGTAGTTTTACATGCAAGCAATTGTGAAGAGAGACAGAACAAAAACGTTAGAAATAACATCAAGTGCCCTACATGTAAAGGGGAGCATAAAATTACCGCGTGTAAGAAATTTCAACGATATAGCGTCAATGAGAGATGGGGCGAAGTTAAGCGTAATCATTTGTGTTTCTCTTGCCTTCGATATGGTCATTCTACACGTGAATGTCGTACCAAAACGTTGTGTACGGTAAATGGTTGCCAACGCAAACACAACAGGATGTTGCATGATCAAAACCCCAACCAGCCCGACCAGCGGTGTTCTGTTCAGCCTGCCGAGCAGCAGGTGTAAACCCCAAACCGCAGTAATGAAAAGGAGCAAAGAATAAATTTGGTTCGTGAGTCTATACTCAGCTGTAAGCTGACAACCCCTGATGAAAGTAAGATATTGTTCCGTACTTTGCCCGTAACCCTGTATGGACCACGACAACGGGTAGATACATACGCTATGCTGGATGAGGGCTCATCCATAACGATGGTCGACAGCAGCTTAATTGAAAAGTTGGGTGTTAAGGGCCAGCAACATTTGTTAAACCTTCAATGGTTTGGTGGGAAAACTGCACAAGAGCCAACTTCAGTTGTAAATCTCCAGATAACTGAAAGTGAATCAAAAAGGCTTCATAATTTAAGTAGGGTGCATGCTGTGCCAAACTTAGACTTACCGATACAGAGTTTGAAAAGGTCTGATCTACGAGGTGCCACTGATAGTCTGCCAAAAGGGCTTAAGTTTTTTTCAAATATTAAGATAAAAATACTTATCGGATTGGACCATTGCCATTTAGGGTTGCCATCGAAAACGATGCAGGTTTCAAAGCAAGGCCCATATTTAGCACACACAGAGCTGGGGTGGGTGGTATTTGGGCCCACGAAGGGGAATCCCACAAAGGGGAATTCCTCGCAAATGACAACATGTTTGCAAGTCAGTAAAATAAATGATCAAACCCTACATGATTTGGTAGAAGAATATTTCACGACTGAAAATTTTGGCGTACGGTCCACGCCAGCTGTAAAGAGTGATGCGGAAATTCGTGCTGAGAATATATTAAAGGCGACTATGTTACGAGTTGATGGCAGATTTCAAATAGGTCTTCTGTGGAAACATGATGAAATACGACTACCGGATAATTATAAAATGGCGGAACAGCGGTTTCTGGGCATTGAACGAAAATTTAAGAGGGATAACGTTTTCGCAGCAGCATACAAGTCAGTTATTCAGAGCTATTTGGAGAAAAACTACTGTCGTAAACTTACACAAGCTGAAGCTGCCATAAAGGGACCACGGGTATGGTATCTCCCTCACTTCGCGGTTAAAAATCCGAACAAGCATGGGAAAATTCGTTTAGTTTTCGACGCTGCCGCAGCCTTCAACAACGTATCCTTAAACTCATTTTTGCTCAAAGGTCCACAAGATTACCAGCCTATGCCAACAGTGCTATACAATTTTCGTATTGGAGCCATCGGAGTGTGTGGTGATATAAAAGAAATGTTTCACCAGATCTTAGTTAGACCCGAGGACAGATGCGCGCAGAGATTTTTATGGAGGAATAACCCCAACTGCGAATTAGAAGTCTACGAGATGCAAGTCATGACCTTTGGTGCGGCATGTTCTCCGTGCGCAGCCCAGTATATAAAGACTGTAAACGCAATGGGGTATAAAGAGAAATTTCCTCGAGCTGTAGAGGCCATTGTAAAGCATCATTACGTCGACGATTTCGTGAACAGCTTTCCGTCAGTGGAAAAAGCAATTGCCGTAACAACTCAGGTGCGCGAAATTCATAAAGCAGCTGGGTTGGATATGTGCGCATTCATTTCGAATTCGGATATTGTGGTTAAATCACTGCGAAACACGGCACAGCTAGAAGATGCAACGGCAGAGAAGGTATTGGGAATGTATTGGAAACCGGAAGATGATACATTCCGCTACGAGTTGAAGTTCCACCGAGTTGATGCTGACGTAGTGAGTGGAAACAGGCCGCCAACGAAACGAGAGTTGTGCAGTTACATCATGTCTATTTTCGACCCCATGGGATTTTTGTGTCAGTTAACTGTCGGTGCGAAATTATTGTTGAGAGAGGTATGGCAGGGAGGAGTGACTTGGGATCAGCCATTACCGGAAGATATGTACGAGTGTTGGAAAGTCTGGCAGAAAGAAGTTGAGAGAACAACAACTATTCGAATTCCTCGATATTATTTTCAAGAAGGGCCGCCGAAAGAGTTACAATTGCATGTATTTGTGGATGCAAGCGAGGAAGCATTCTCGGCGGTATGCTATTGGCGATACAAGGATGCCAGGGAGACCTTTAGAACTGCTTTAATCGGCACAAAGACCAAATGCGCTCCAATAAAATGCATAACAATTCCGAGATTAGAGTTACAAGCCACCGTTTTAGGAGTACGCCTCTCTCAAATGATCTTGGAGGAACATAAACTTGTCTGCACACGCATTCTATGGAGCGACTCAACGACAGTAATTAGCTGGTTAAACTCGCAGCATCGCCGTTATAAACCGTTCGTCGCTCATCGTATCGCTGAAATTCTGGCGGTGACTCGGCCAGGGGACTGGAACTGGGTACCAACCAACGAAAATGTAGCCGATGAAGCCACTCGACGAAGTAAAAATTTAAACTTCAATTCCACATCGCGCTGGTTAAATGGTCCTGAGTTCCTATCGCTGGGGACAGACAGTTGGCCAAAGGCGCCTATAAAGGCAAATAATGACTTAGTATGCAGCGAAATCTTGCCAGCGAAAAGAGTCTTACTAGTTGACCGTATTAGTTTTATCGAGTTTGACAGATTTTCTTCCTATAATAAGTTGAAACGAACAGTAGCATGGATTTTAAGGTTTGTTGGCAGGACCCGTCGAAAATTCACCGATCAAAAGGAGTATGGTTTAACTGCAACTGAACTGGACGCTGCTGAAAAAATTATGTGTCGTCAAATACAAGCTACTAACTTTTCAGTGGAAATCAAACTATTGCGGGAGGGTCAACCGCTAGCTAAGGATAGTCTATTATATACATTGCCTCCATTCATCGATAACGATCAAATACTACGAGTAGGTGGGCGTATACAAGCAGCCAGCTGGCTTCCATTTGATAGTTTACATCAAATAGTTCTGCCAACGAGGCACAAATTAACACTGTTAATCGTGACGCAATATCATATTCGGATGAAGCACCACTATACTGAGGCAACAATTGGTGAGATCAGACAGAAATTTTGGATTCCACAGCTGAGGTGAGTGTTGAAAAGAGTTGTTACAAATTGTATGGTCTGCCGAATCTTCAAAGCAAAGCCTGTCGTACCCATCATGGGACGATTGCCGGAAGATCGCGTAACGCCGTATGTTAGACCATTTAGCTATACTCGCTTGGATTATTTTGGCCCAATAAATGTCACGATCGGACGACGAACGGAGAAACGATGGATCGCGCTCTTTACCTGTCTAACAGTTCGAGCCATACATCTTGAAATAGCAGCTGATTTGTCGACGGATGCTTGTATCCTGACCATCCGCAACTTTATTAACCGTCGCGGAGTGCCCGTACGTATACGCAGCGACAACGGTAGAAACTTTCTCAGCGTAAGCCAGGAGGCAAGGCGGTTTACTGAGGTGTTCGATTGCGAACGTCTACAGAGCGAGCTATCTGGCAGAGGCATTGAGTGGCGGTTCAATTGTCCGGCAAACCCATCTGAAGGAGGCATATGGGAACGCATGGTACAATGCGTGAAGCGAGTATTGAGACACACTCTAAGCGAAATAGCTCCGCGCGAACACACGATGCAGAGTGCTCTTATCGAAGCGGAAAACATCGTGAACTCTCGCCCATTGACGCATTTGCCAATATCACCTGAGCAGGATGAGCCTCTCACTCCTAACCACCTGTTGTTGGGAACGGCCAATACGGCACAAACTCCGGCCATAAATGAAGCAGAAGAGAAGACGTGTGCTTTGAGAAAGCAGTGGCGAATTGCGCGGCAGATACAGGACAAATTTTGGAAGCGTTGGGTAATGGAGTACCTTCCTACCTTAACGCGCAGAGTTAAGTGGTGTCAGAAAAGTAAGCCACTAAAAGTGGGGGACCTTGTGCTTATATGCGACGTGAATGTGCCGCGACGTCAGTGGTGTCGTGGCGTGGTTCAGCGTGTGTTTGCTGGCGCTGATGGTGAGGACAGGCGGGCTGATGTTAAAACTGGCTCTGGTGTACTACGACGACCTGCATCGAAGCTGGCCGTTTTGGACGTAATCCCTGGTGAATCAGGGTGATTCACGGGGGTGGGGATGTAACAAATCACCCATCCCTATTATTCGTACAACTGGCAGCTCTGTACACTCAACGTAGTTTGCCCACTTCCTCTTTGATATTTCTTTGAGTGGCAGCACCACATTTTAATTTAATTCTTGTGAAATCATTTTTGTCGTGGATTTCAAGTTGAAGAGGCGCAAACTGCGGTGAGTTTATTTAACTTATATGTAATGATATTTGTTGTTTTAATGTAACGGTTCCTTTGTTCTAGAAATAAACGCACTTCCATCTTTTTGGGTATATGAGAAAAGGCGTTCTATTTCTTTGCCTTCCCACGAATTTTACAAGGCCCTCAAAGAATCCTGAACCCATAAACTTTTGTGTTCTTCTACAAAGTGCGGGGCAATCGCATAACAGGTGCCGCAAGGTTTCTGGCTCTTCTTCATTTCTGAAGCTTCTGCAGAAATCGTTATGGGGGATACCTAACCTCCCCGCGTGCCTTCCAATAGCAACATGGCCTGTTAGCAGACCCACAGCTGCGGCTAGGTCCCCTCTGCTCAGCATGAGGAGTTCCTTCGACCGCTTTTTGTCCCGTTTAGGCCATGTAAACTTCTTCTTGTTGCAAGTGGTGAGGCTATCCCTTCTGTCCTTTGCTAGTTTAAGAGACAGATCCCTTAGAATAAGCTTGCAGGTAGCGAGCGGCATGCCTAATCCTTTCCAGGCCCACGAAAGTGGAGCGGATGTGCCCTCTCTTGCAAGTTCGTCCGCCTTTTCATTGCCTGGTATGTTCCGGTACCCCGGATAGCTTAGAGCCATCGGTGTGGAGGTGGAGTGATCCATTTTCATCGGGAGCCCCTCCTGACCAGAATTTTATATCTGGACTGGAAAACTTATATCTCTTTGTGAAGTTCAACCTTGGTGCACTGAAATCCGTATCCGGTATATTTACGTTCTTTAAGATTGCCGTGTGGCCTTCCTGAGTGTCCCTCCAGCCTGGTAGTTCCCTCAAACTCAAGGCAGCACACCCCGCTGATTGTTTTCCAACAAGTTCAACTGGTAAAATATTGAGCAGCACGCACATAGCCTCAGATGGAGTTGTGCGTAGAGCCCTACAGATGCAGCGCATCTCAGTTCTTTGCACCTTTTGGAGTGCTTCTGTTGTAGATTCCTGTTGAGACTTGGCCACCATACCAAGACCCTATATAATAGAATCGGCCTAACAACTACCGTTTATAGACAGTACATGATGCTAGGGGACAGCCCCCGGCTACGCCCAAACGCCCCCTTACAGCTGTAGAGGGCTACCGTCGCTTTTTTAACACGCTCTTGTATATTTTGCAGGGATGGCAGGGAGCTGAAGTGAGGGGATCTTGTACTTCCTGGTAAAAAACACCAGGTCCATTTTATCTGGATTAACACCCAGACCTTTCTCCTTGGTCCATCTTTCGATTAACCTTAGTCTGTCCTGCATAATGTCACACAGAGTTTGTGGAAATTTTCCACTAACAACCACCGCAAGGTCGTCAGCATACGCAATGAACTTGGTGCTTCCCCCCCTTCCAGGGTCTGCAATAACTCATTTATCGCCATGACCCATAAAAG